AAATTGATTAACAGTGATTTGTCATGTAACTCCCACCTAAGATTTTTTTTAACAGCCTATCATCATTCATAATTTTTTCACATAAGATTGTTAGCGGTCCGAAACATGCCCAACCCCTTTTTTTGTTCTATACAATGAAGACTTCAGTGCACATGAAACATAAGTAATCATTTAATAGTCTTAAAATATCATGTAACATTATTCACGTAATACTTTTAACCAATAACATACATGGTAGTAAAAAAATTGTGTGGGACAATATTGACACATTGGTTAGATAGTCACTAGTTGAGATATTAGAGATGATTCAAATAATGTGTTGTGTGTTTTGCAATTTATCATCATTTATTAAAAAAAACAAAAAAAAAGTCTTATTTTGTTTTTAATTATTAATGAATTTTATCAAGTTATAATATGGATAATTAAATTTTATTTGTGATGAAAAAAATTTCCAAAATATTCATTGCTCCATAACGGTGTGTCTTATCCAATTTTACCCTTCTTATTTAATATGAACAATAATTTTATAAATAATTTTATCTTAATTAAAATTTAAAATTTTAATTGTAAAAATTATTAATCTTATACTTATAGTTTTGTTTATGAAAAATCATTTAATTTGAACAATTAAAAATAATTTAATTATAAAATTTCTAGTAAATTAAAATTATTTATCAAACTTTTTGTTCATATTTTAATGAAAAAGATAAAATTAAAATAAAATATACTATTATGAACAATTGAATTTTTTATAACAAATTATAAAATAAAATAAAAGATTTATTTGTTAATATTGAAATTTAATATAACTCAATAATAATTTTCAAAACAAAATTGAATTTATTGATAATTTTTTTATTGTGATTTATGATTTGTTTTAATATAATATCATAACTTGTACAATTAAAAATTATTATTTTATTAAAAATATTTATAACATTGTTGTTCATATTAAACAAGAGATAACATCCACCATGATGGAGCAATGAACTTTTAAAAAATATATTATAAAAAATAGGATTTAGTTGTCCATATTGAAACTTGATAAGACTTTACATGTTAATAACAAAATAGGGCTTATTGCTTATTATCCTTTCTTTTAAATGAAAGATGGAACTAATTCAATAATGGGGGACTTACTTGTAAGTCTTAATAGGTGGACTTATTGTCCAATAGATCCAGTGATAATTAATGGCGTATTTCATCAAGCACTATTAAAAAAAATTCACTAATTATTAATTTTCAGCAATAGTTTAAAATTTTTGTCACAAAAAATATCACTAATTATAAATTTTAGCAACAGTTTAAAAAAATTATCACAAAAAATGTTACTACTTTTCAACTTTTAGAGGCAATTTAAAAAATTTGTCATAGAAAAATATCATTAATCGTAAATTTTAACGACAATTTATAAAAAATCGTGATAAAAAAAAGTAGTACTAATTGTTAATTTTTAGCGATATGCAAAAAATCGTCACAAAAAATTATTTTTAGCGATGATTTTATTAAGACTAACTTTCAATAAGGCTTGTGGTTGCAAAAACGAACACAAAAACAAAATTCAAATTATATGCATTTAAAGTTAATAACAATTTTTTAGTTATTTTATTTGTAGCCTAGGCACGATAGGAAATCACTTGTTTGGTTTGGATTTTCTAAAAACACTTTTAAGAAAATTCTATTTTCTTATTTTTTTTGTTTTTATTAAATTTTTTTAATATTTTCAGTAATTTTTTTTAATTTTTAGACACACCTAACATAAATACACTTAAAAAGTATAATTTTCGTGAACTTTTTTTTCAAAAAAAATCACTAAATAACAAAAATACAAAAATTCAGTATATTTTTCATATTTTTATGTATTTATTAATTTTTTGAAATATTTTTTTCACAAATATTTTACTTTTTAGATACATCTAAGTAAGATGCATCTAAAAAAGTAAAAAAAAAATAATTAAAATTTTTAAAATATGTACTAAAAAAAAACACGAAAAACAAAAAACTCAATTTTCAAATAATTAAATTCAGAAAATTAAAATCAAACACACTGAATTCTCCTCAATTTGGGGATCTAACTAGAGAGATCATGTTGATGACCTTATGATAGATGTATTTTAATGATTTAAATCGTTCATTTTGTAATGTCTATTAAAAAAATAATCCATGTCAAATAATTAAGATTATCTGGCATTGATATATGATCGGTTCATGTTTATTTTAAAAAATAAATTATTTATTTTTAAAATTAAACTTCATATTTTTTTTTTCCTTTTAAGACATGTGATTGTACTAATTTTCCTAGAAGATGCTATTGTGTTTACAATAGGCTAGATAGTCAACGGATTTGACCGAACACCATGGAAAAAAAACTGGGTTGATTCAAAGAAAATTAAAACCGATTGGACACTAGTGTTTCAATCCTATCTTGAACTATACGGTAAAAGTTGATTTTTTAATTTTTAATTTTTATTATTTTTTTAAAAAATATATAAAAAAATAGTGAGATAATATGACTTAAAATATTAAAAAATAATAAAAATAATTTTTAACTGTATTAGAAAATAAGCCTCAATCTTTATTTGGAAAACAACGTCAAGATGATCATGTACTTTGAATCAAGATGGTAAAAGTGTCTCTATTCACTACAACATATAAGAGTTTTAAAGATCAATTTTTTTAGTCTCTAAAAGTGAAAATTTTGCTGTAAAAGACATTTAGGGACCAATTTTCATCATCATGATGATAGTCGCTAAAAAGTAGTCCAGAAAAGTCAAAAAAAGGCATTTAGTGACAAAATTTTGAAAATGTCTCTAATAAATAGACTTTTAGGGACAATAATTTGGTCTCAAAATAATTTATTTTTTGAAACAAAAAATTTAGTCCCAAAGGGATAATAATTCATCACGAATGTCCAATTTTTGTTGCTAAAAATATAATAATGATACTTTTCGCAATAAAATAATTTGGTCCTTAAAAAATAATTTTGTCCTTAAATTTTTGTTTCTAAAACCTTTATTTTTTGTAGTGATTAAAATGGTTATAAAAGTTTTATTTTTATTTTAGTTAATTATTTTTTTAAATATGTTCTCTAACATTTAATTATCTCAAAACCTATAATTTGTTGTATCCAAATTTCAAGGAAGTGAATGTAATTTATGCCAAAAAAAATTATATTGAATTCATATATAAAATGATGTGACACTTTATGCCCCGTTCATCTCAATTTAAAATATTTTATTATTCTAACTTATATTTTCAAAAATATTATATATAGTAAATGTAATTTTTTAAGTAAATATAATTTGATGAAAGAATTACTGATATCTGATCAATTTAATTTTTTACAAATATAATCTACCCGATATATTTAAAATGACTCTATCACCCTGTTTCCTGCTTATTAGAAGATAAAATTAATATTAAAAAAGATTAGAAGTTACAAGTGTTTTCTCTTAATTTTTTGATAATTATTATTTTTTAATTTTATTTTTGCATCGTAGGTAATAAACAAAAACTGCAAGAATATTTTAGCACAGATTTTTAACATAAAAAAAATTATAAGCATCTCAATAAATTGTACCAAACATTTTTCAGTCGCCAATATTTTTTTTTTCTTTTTTTTTTTTACAACAATGATACATCCTTTTAATTTTAGAGCTCTAATTGAGCTCTAATGAAATGAAAAATGAAAAAAAAAAAAAAAAAAATTCCAAAACATTACAACACATCACAATGGAACTCACCTCCCATTAGAACTCCTATATTAGAGCTCTAAAACGTTTTTTTTTTTTAAAATGTTTTGGGCGGTAGATATCATGCATGGAGGATGATACAAAAGATTATCAATATTTTCAACTTTGAAGTTTTTGAAATAACATGCATTTGCAACCACATCCATTGTAATAAATAAATAAAAATTAAGGTAAATTGCACTCACTTTTTCTGAGATTTGAAAAAAATTACAGTTAGTTCTATATTTTTTAATATAATTATACTAGTCTCCCTTGAACTTTTAATTAGCATAACAGTTATGCTCTTCTTCATTCATTAGTTGTATAAGTAAAAAAAAAGAGAGAGGATATTATCATCTATTTTTTACTAAAATATATATTTATCTTTATTTATCTTAGTGTCTATCATTTGCATTCCTTTCATTCACTTTAACCTTTACTATAAAAAATAAAAAATAAAAATTATTATGATTATCTAAAAAAGTATCAAACTAACTAGATTCACTACAACAAAAAAGGCCTTTGGTGACAGACTAATTTTGTCTCCAAACATCAAATTTTCGTTACTGCAATGATCTGCGACGAAAAAAATTTGTCACCATGTTCGTGGCCTATACGTCGTTGCTGAAAGTACCTGGTGACGAAAAATAGTTTCGTCGCCTATTTTTGATTTTTGACGACAAAATGTTTCGCCTCTGAATGTTGAATTTTTCGTCCTTTATAACATCAATTTCGTCGCTAAAACTAAATAATATTTTATTTTAATTATTTTTCGCAACGAAATATTTCGTCACCAAATTGATTTTAGTGACAAAAGTTTTCCTCACCAACGATATGGATTAAGGTGACAAAAAAATTCGTCACTAAAATGAGCAGAAAAAAAAATTCTTCAATGACAAAAAACATTTTGTCATTAACTATTTCAATTTAGCAACAAAATATTCAACAAATGTGACGAAATTATTTGTTTGGTATTGTATCATTAGTGAAAAAATTATTCGTCATGTTTTTTGAAAACTAATAGTGACATTTTTTATTTCGTCACTAATAAAAATTAAAACTTTTTGAAAATGAAGATACTATTTTCTTCTGAAATTTTTTCTTTTCAGTAACAATTCCCTGCGCATTTCAATAACCTATTCAATAAAATATCTATTACAAATCAATACAGAAATCTGTTCATTTTCATAAACATCATAATCGAATTTCAGCACTATCCACAAAAATACAATATGAACTGCATGCGGATTATAAACATGTCTCCTAATATCCACAAAAAACATCTACTAATATCCACAAAAATATAATATCAACCGCATGCGGATTACCAAACACATCTCCTAATATCCAACAAAAAACATGTCTACTAATATCAAAAAAAATAAAATATCAAGGGCGGATTACCCAACATGCCCTGTAATACTAACAAAAATAGAAAATTTACAATGCAACCAAAATACATGGAAGGTAATATGAACAAAAACGCAAAATGAGCTACCATCTGCCCTTCAAATTACCAAACATATCTATATCAAATCTCGAATCTGCAAAAAAATGAAACACAAAAAAAAAAAAAAAAAAAATACAAGTTAGACAATTATTATCTTATCCATAAAATATACAATTTAACATGCATTTTTCGAATTAGTTTTCAAATCAGGAGTCCGGTGCAAGTTCCATAAGTTTCAACAACTTACATTGGTCCCTCCCAACGTGTTTGAGGTGTTCCCCGGGCCGTCCTGTGGCTGTTGCATGATTTTGGCCCCCGAAAGTCTATTTTCAAGCTTAAGTGTGAAAAAGTGCAATTTCGAACTTAGTTTTCAAACCGGGAATCCCGTGCTCGTTCCGTAAGTTTCCACAACTCACATTAGTCCCTCCCGAGGTGTTCCCCGGGCCGTCTCGTGGATGTTGCACGAATTTGGCTTCCGGTGGCCTATTTTCAAGCTTAAGTGTGAAAAAGTGCCTTTTTGGACTTAGTTTTCAAACCGGGAGTTCCGTACTAGTTCCGTAAGTTTCCACAACTCACATTGGTCCCTCCCAAAGTGTTTGAGGTGTTTCCCGGGCCGTCTCGTGGCTATTTCACGATTTTGGCATCCGGTGGCCTATTTTCAAGCTTAAGTGTAAAAAAGTGCATATTTGGACTTAGTTTTCAAACCGGAGTCCCATGCTAGTTCTATAAGTTTCCACAACTTACATTGGTTCCTCCCAAAGTGTTTGAGACGTTCTGCAGGCATTCCCGTGTCTGTTACACGATTTTGGCCCCTGATGGCCTATTTATAAACTTAAGTGTTGGAAAAAATCATTTTGGGACTTAGTTTTCAAAACGGGAGTCTCGTGCAAGTTTCGTAAGTTTATACAAGTTACAACGGTGGCTTCCGAGGTGATTGAGATGTTTCCCGAGCCTTCTCAGGGTTGTTTAATGATTTTGGCCTTCCAATGGCCTATTTTCAAGCTTAAGAGTTGGAAAAAATGCATTTTTAGACTTAGTTTTCAAACCGGGAGTCCCGTACTAATTTTGTAAGTTTCCACAACTCACATTGGTCCCTCCCGAGGTGTTTGAGGTGTTCCCCGGGCCATCTCGTGGCTGTAGCACGATTTTGGCCTCCGGTGGCCTATTTTCAAGCTTAAGTGTGAAAACGTGCATTTTTGGACTTAATGTTCAAATCAGGAGTCCCGTGCTAGTTCCGTAAGTTTCCACAACTCACATTGGTCCCTCCCAAGGTGTTTAAGACGTTTTGCGGGTGTTCCTGTGTCTGTTACACGATTTTGGCCCCCGATGGCCTATATACAAGCTTAAGTGTTGGGAAAAATCATTTTTGAACTTAGTTTTCAAAATGGGAGTCCCATGCAAGTTCCGTAAGTTTACACAAGTTACAACGGTGGCTACCAAGGTGATTGAGGTGTTTCCCGAGCCTTCTCGGGGTTGCTTAACGATTTTGGCCCCCCGATGGCCTATTTTCAAGTTTAAGAGTTGGAAAAAATGCATTTTTAGACTTAGTTTTCAAACCGAGAGTCCCGTGCTAATTCCATAAGTTTCCACAACTCACATTGGTCCCTCCCGAGGTGTTTGAGATGTTCCCCGGGCCGTCTCGTGGCTGTAGCACAATTTTGGCCTTCAATGGCCTATTTTCAAGCTTAAGTGTGAAAAAGTGCATTTTTGGACTTTCTGTTCAAACCGGGAGTCCCGTAGTAGTTCCGTAAATTTCCATAACTCACATTGGTCCCTCCCGAGGTGTTTGAGGTGTTCCCCAGGCCGTCTTGTGGCTGTTCCACGATTTTGGCATCCGGTGGCCTATTTTTGAAGCTTTAGTGTGAAAAAGTACATTTTTGGACTTAGTTTTCAAACTAGGAGTCCCGTGCTAGTTTTGTAAGTTTTCACAACTTACATTGGTCCCTCCCGAGGTGTTTGAGGTGTTCCCCGGGCCGTCCTGTGACTGTTGCACGATTTTGGCCTCCGGTGGCCTATTTTCAAGCTTAAGTGTGAAAAAGTACATTTTTGGATTTAGTTTTTAAACCGGGAGTCTCGTGCTAGTTCCGTAAGTTTTCACAACTTACATTGGTCCCTCCCGAGGTGTGTGAGGTGTTTCCCGGGCCGTCCCGTGGCTCTGACACGATTTTGGCCTCCGGTGGCCTATTTTCAAGCATTAAGTGTGAAAAAGTGCATTTTTGGACTTAGTTTTCAAACCGGGAGTTCCGTGCTAATTCCGTAAATTTTCACAACTCACATTGGTCCCTCCAGAGGTGTTTGAGGTGTTCCTCGGGCAGCCATGGCTGTTGCACAATTTTGGCATTTGGTGGCTTATTTTTGGACTTAGTTTTCAAATCGGGAGTCCGGTGCTAGTTCCGTAAATTTCCACAACTTACATTGGTTCCTCCCGACGTGTTTGAGATGTTCCGCGGGTGTTCTCGTGTCTGTTACACGATTTTGGCCCCCGATAGCCTATTTACAAGCTTAAGTGTTGGAAAAAATCATTTTTGGACTTAGTTTTAAAAACGGGAATCCCATGCAAGTTTCATAAGTTTATACAAGTTACAACGGTTGCTTCCGAGGTGATTGAGGTGTTTCCCAGGCCTTCTTGGGGTTGTTTAACAATTTTGGCCCCCCGATGGCCTATTTTCAAGCTTAAGAGTTGGAAAAAATGCATTTTTAGACTTAGTTTTCAAACCGGAAGTCTTGTACTAATTCTGTAATCCCGAGGTGTTTGAAGTGTTTCCCGGGCCGTCTCGTGACTATTGCACGATTTTGGCCCCCGAAGGCCTATTTTCAAGCTGAAGTGTAAAAAAATGCATTTTTGGACTTAATTTTCAAACCGGGAGTTCTATGGTAGTTCCGTAAATTTTCACAATTTATGCTAGTACCGCCCGACGTGTTTGAGGTGTTTCCCCGGCCGTCTCGTGACTGTTGCACGATTTTGGCCTCCGATGGCCTATTTTTAAAGCTTAAGTGTGCAAAAGTGCATTTTTGGACTTAGTTTTCAAATCGGGAGTCTCGTGCTAGTTCCGTAAGTTTCCACAACTTACTTTGGTCCCTCCCGAGGTGTTTGAGGTATCACCCGGGCCGTCTCGTGGCTATTGCACGATTTTGGCCCCCGAAGGCTGATTTTCAAGCTGAAGTGTGGAAACGTACATTTTTGGACTTAGTTTTCAAACCGGGAGTCCCGTACTAGTTCCGAAAGTTTCCACAACTCACATTGGTCCCTCCCGAGGTGTTTGAGGTGTTACTCGGGCCGTCTCGTGGCTATTGCACGATTTTGGCCTCTGGTGGCCTATTTTCAAGCTTAAGTATGAAAAAATGCATTTTTGGAGTTAGTTTTCAAATCGGGAGTCTCGTGCTAGTTTCGTAAGTTTCCACAACTTACATTGGTCTCTCCCGAAGTGTTTGAGATGTCTTCTGGGCCGTCCCGTGGCTGTTGCACGATTTTGGCCCCCCGATAGCCTATTTTCAAGTTTAAGTGTTGCAAAAGTGCATTTTTTGACTTAGTTTTCAAACCTGGAGTCCCGTACTAGTTCTGTAAGTTTCCACAACTTACATTAGTCCCTCCCGAGGTGTTAGGGGTGTTCCCGGGCCTTCTCATGGATTTTTCACGATTTTAGGCCCTGATGGCCTATTCTCAAGCCTTAGTATTGGAAAAGTACATTTTTGGATTTAGTTTGAAAAAGGTTATTTTTCTACGTAGTCTTTAAACCGGGAGTCCCGTCCTATATCCATGCATATATTATTATGACTTATGAAGATGTATTAGATATTTAATTGGCTATGTTTCTTTTTTTTCTTTTGTTGTTGATGTTACATTTCCATTTAACATTTATGGGTTTCAATAATGGTACAATAAATAAAACAATATACATGGGTTTTCAGTAGGTTCACCCGCAATCTCTACCAACAACCCATACAACAAATATAACATATCTGGGTTTTCAGTAGGTTCACTCTCAACCTCTTAAGACCATTATGGGTTTTCAATAGGCTCACCCTTAACCTCATCCACGTGTGTGATTATGTACATGTATGTATATATATATATATAAATGTGTAGAAGATACCTGCCCGTCAATTCCTAGCTAAGGCCTTTGAGAAGAGTCACCTTAAGATCAAACTCGATTACAAGATCCACAAAACCTAAGGCCAAAACATTCAAAGAAAAACACAACATAACTAATAATTGTTCAAAGAAAAGCATTCACCTAAACTTAATTATATTTAACATGAAGATTACACCAAAGTTATAGCTGTAACAGATCATAAGCAAGCGATAGAAGAAAAACTATCTTAATCTTGAATCACATAATTTGTTTGTCAGAATTAATGTGCGGTTGTTGGAGGATATCCATATGACTCTTGTAGATGTTGCAAAAAATTTAATGCCCAAGACTGTTTCAATGGATGCTGAAACTTGATTGACAATCTACTTGTCGCTCTTAAGATAGAAAAAGGGGAAGCCAGAATGAAAACAGAGCCTTCCTTTAATATTCTTCAATCATTGTACACCAAATGACGAAAGACACAACAACAACAACAACAAAAAATATTGATGAACACCTTAACCACAGCGATGCCTTTCCTTATCGCATTCACTATCTCTCACACAATAGCAAACACCCGAACACCCATGAATATTCACAGGAAAAAAAAAAAATGCTAAGTATAAAATGTAGAAAATGTAGAGTTTAGGCAAAAAATGTAGCAGAAAAAAAATATACCGATGGAGGCATATAGGTGTGGTTCTCTTGATTGTTTATTTGAAGGAAGATCATATAATTTTCCCTATTGTATTGATGAGTTTATGTCTTAAAGATTATTGAAGTCAGAATGAAGATTATTAAAACAAAATGGGCTTATCATGCCAACAGATTTTTTCCCAACCTTGTTGATTGTCTAATACAGATTTTTTACATTTTGTGATTTTTTTTTTTTTTTTGGTCTATGAGCAATCAGTTTAACTACCATTCCAAATGCTAAATAGTCAACAATCAACAAAAACACAAATATCCAACAACCACACCAATATTTTTGAGTATAAACATTTGAATATTAAAGGCAAAATGGAAAATAAAAGCAACTAAACATCCAGTTTTATCACACTAAAATCTTAGATAAAAAAATGCAACACACTTAATAGCTGTCTGTAATCAGATTTTAACAATATTGGCCTAGTGAATGAAAACTGGTTTTATAGGCAAAACTAGATTAAGATATCGCAACTCATAGGGCAGCAATAATACGCATAATCAGCACAATGGATTGGCGACGGCAATAATCCTTTATAACATTTTAACATATGAAACAGCATTAATAGAAGATAAAAGCTCCTCAATGTAAAGATAAGTAGAAGGCCAAAGGAAGTAAGCACACAACAAACCCATGATAAGAGATTTATATGTTAATATGATAACATTTCAGCCAATTATCAAATGTGGTTTTAGGATTTTGAATTTTCTTTTTCAAATAGATCCAACATTGGAAAATACAGCATCTAACGTTGGTGACCTCATTATAATTCCAATGCCTAAATCTAAGCTATGGTTTCTTCACATGATACAACAATCTCACTAGACAAGACAACGGCAAACTGAAAATGTCAGATATATTTCCATGAAAAGGTGAGAAGTTAAGAGGGAACAAAATTAGATCTTTGATATAGTAAAACATCATCAAATCTAGAAATCAAATAACAAAAGATCTGTCCTCTGTTTGTGATTTTTTTTTTTTTTTTTGCTATGAGCAATCAGTTTATCAAACTAGGCTATGAATAAAATTAGATCTTTGATAGAATAAACATCATCAAAACCATTTCATTCTTCTTTCCACTTATCAAATCCATGTTCGAAATCAACAACAAATCTAAGAAATCAACAACAATTTTTACCCGGGAAATCATAGATATATAATAGGAACAAATGAGAATGATGATGAAAAAAAATCCACAACAAACCGTAAATCATCAAACCCATAAAACTTAATTAATCAAACCCATTTAACAAATCAACAACAAATCAAACCATGGCAAGAAATCATAAATATATATATATATATATATATCAGTAACAAATCAAAATGAAGATGAAAGGGACCTTGTCGGTCGCCGCCTTCCCTTGCCTCGCTGTCACCTCCCCTCGCCTAGCTGCCGGAGTCGTCTACCGGAGTCACATCGCCTACATCTCTATGTCGTTTCGTCTCTGCATCTCTCTCAAAGACGGGTTGGGTTAGGGTTATGCAACAAATGAGAGAGAGAAAAAGAGGCTGAAATTCAAAGGGAAACAAAATACAAAACGATTGAGAGAGAGAGAGACAGAGAGAGATGAGCGCGATTGAGAAGAAGAAAAATGAGGGAAATCTTGGAGGGAATTTTGGCAATAATTTGCTAGGATTTTTTTTTTCTTTTTTTTTTCAAACGTGGCAAACGGGCAGGTCCGAACGAGTCAAAATAAGTTTTGTATTAAAAATTTGTTTCAATTTTTGAAATTTTTTTTTGAGTTCTTAATTAGTATTTTTTTTAGTGAATTTTTTTAATATTTTAATCAATTAAAAAATAATTAAAATATTTAAAAAGTTCACTAAAAATTAAAAAAAATAAGAATTGAAACTTGAAAAATAGTTTTCGAAAACTGAAACTAAATGAAATCGATTCAAACTCACTTATTTAATAAAGGGGCTTAAATGGGTTCGGTGGAGGTGGAGTGCTAGTGGTGGTGGTAGTGGAGCACCGGTGGTGGAAGTGGAGTGGCGGCAACAGTAGTGGTAGAATAAGGCAGTGGTGGTGGAAGAAAAATGGTAGCGGTGGTGGTGGTAATAGTAGTAGTGGGGTAGTGGTACTAGTGGTGGTGGTGGAAGTGATGGAGAGGTGATGGTGGTAGTGGTAGTGATGTAGTGGCGAGAGCGGTCGTAATGGTGGTGGTGGAAGATAGGTGGTGGTAGTGGTGATAGTAGTGGTAGAGTGACAATGGTAGTGGAGTAGTGGCGATAGTGGTTGTGGAGCAGTGGCGATTGTGGCGATGGAAGTGGAGGAAAGGTGGTGGTAGAGTGGTGGCAACAGTAGTGGCGGTGGTAATGGATCCGTGGCAGTAGAGATGGTGGTGGTGTTGGAGTGGTGGTAGAAAATTCCATTTAAACAAGTACTCATGTCTAACCCAAAAGGGCTTAGCAAAATAGGAATTGATTTGGGCAAACAAAGAGGGCTCCTCACTTGTAGTATAAAACGACGTCGTTTTGTATAATAAAACTGTAGGAGACGAAATTATTTCCTCATGGAAAATTTTGTACAATGGTGACGAAAATTTTCATCTCTAAAATGACGCTAAATATTCTGTGAAATTTTCCAAGGGCGGGAATTTTTTTTGCAATGAAAAATAAAATATAGAGACGAATAAAATTTTCGTCACCTATTATTTTATTGATTTTAAGCATTTGGTGACGAAATTTCATTTTTCTCTCTAAAAATACTATAATTGGAGACGAAATCTTACTTTTATCTCTAAAACATGCATATTTAGAGACGAAATTTTTTTTCGTCATGCGTTTTCGTCACCAAAGACCTTTTTTGTTGTAGTGATTTTTGTTAAACCTTATGGTGATTCCCAAAATCAAATACAGTTGCAATCACTTTATATGGAGTAGTTGCACAAGGACTAAAGTCCCTTTGCATGATGGCCTTCTTTTGATTGTTTTAGGATTGGTTTACTCGTCATTTTCCAACAAGGAAAATACTTTGCGTTGAAGGGTTATTCGGTGCCGTTATGCATGGATGGGCGGTATTTTATGAGATTATGACGGATGGAATTCATGATTTTGTGTTGGATCATAGAGAAGTAGTAAGGGACACTTCTTTTTCTTTCTTCATTTTTTTCCACATAAATTTTCACCAACCATGTGAACAACAATTACATCTTTAGAGCAATGATTTCACATTTCACATAATCACAAGCCAGATCTTCTACTTTATTTTCAATTTACAAATTTGCCTGTTTGACTATTTTATTCATTTGTTTTGTGATGATTTGTTTACATTGGTAGTAGTGATTGTAGTATATTCACAACTAAAATTTTCTAGCGGCTTTATCGAGTCTCTAGTTGTGATATATTCATTTCATTGCTTTGAGCCAACACGTAATTTGCGTCATTAGATTTTCTATCTACATAAAAACCAAGTTATTTTGGTTGGGACAATACTATAGTCCCAGTAATCAACATTAAAAGCACAGTGACATGGTTGGTCTGTCTTCAGGATATTTTTGTACGCATAGAAGATCAATCTATATGCACCTTAATACCTCTGACATTGGAAATGAATCGTCTACCAGTGGCTCTAATAGCTCACATGCCTTTCCTTCAGTCCAAAGTGTCAACGCCTGAAATGATTCAATCCAAATAGACTTGTTTTATTGTGCTTTTCTTTTCTTTCAATTTGAAAACTATTTAAAAAAAAATTAAACAACTTGCTTTTCAAGGAACAACAAAAAGTTGTGTTCAAATTTTCGAATACTATTTTCTCACAAAATGAAAATGATATGAAACTTATGGGTGTTTTTGAACAAAAATAAAAATATAAAAATACAAAAATATAACCAAACTAGATGAACTTACATGTCCAAGAAGGTTAAAATAATGGTCCAATGATGGAACCGCATATTGCTTTTGTCACTCAATATTTCTAAGACTATGACTCCAAAGTTAAAGATATTGGATTTCATTGAAAAGAGACCGTCAATTGCATATTACATGTAACCGTTGCATACCAAACAATTTAGAAATTAGAGCGAAACAAGCTTTAAAGATGTACTCAAAAATCTAGTGGCTTCTCTTAGCTAAGCTCGTACACTTACTTACTGAGTTCCAACCACCCTTCTTGTCCTTGGGGATGATTGATCTCCTCCAAAAGCCGTAGCTAGACCAAAATCTGAAATTTTAAGATTCATCTCACAATCCAATAAGACATTGCTAGCTTTGAGATCCCTATAAATAATTCTCAATCTTGAATCTCAACGTAGAGCAATTCCAACAATAATATCTTAGTGTTTCATCCATGTGAGTGATTTACTTCTTGTGCTTTCTACATGGCGCTTAAGGTTTTCTTTAATTTATAAGATTTTAAAATTTAATTCCATTTCAAAAATAATATATGCCTATGAAATTATTTATAAAGAAAAAAAAAATTACAGAAAGGTGGGTGAAAGGTGTGGCATATTCTTGTTAATGTAGACCAATGCCGAGTAGCAGGCAATAATTTTTTGCCCCTTACTGAAAAAAATTTAGAAATGCCATTTTTGTTAACCTGTTCTTCATGGAATGGTTGATCTCTTCCTCAACTGTTGATGTAAAAAAAAAACAAAAAAAGACTCTTATAAATAAATCAAATCAATCATGGTTGATGGCTGTATCTCAATGCACTTTACAATTTTACAAATTTACAAATTTGTATATGTGGTTTGTGATGATTTATTTATCATTATCGGTAGTAGTGTTTTATAGTATATTCACTAATAAATTATTTCGAACAATTTTATCGAGGATCTAGTTGTGACATAGTCATATTGTTGCTCTGAGCCAACAAATAATTTGTGTCACTAGATTTCCTCTCTGTATAAAAGCCAGGTTGGTTGGGTTGAGGCAGCACTATAGTCTCAGTAATCAACATTAACAGCACAGTTGACATAGTTGGCCTATCTTTGTGGCATTTTTGCACGCATAAAAGACCAATCTGTATGCACCTTAGTACTTCTGACATTGAAAATGAACCCTCCACCAGTGGATCTAATAGCTCACATGCCTTCCCTTCTATCCAAAGTGTCCATGCCTAAAATGATTCAATATAGTCATAACAAAATTCAATAATTGGCAAATATAATTGTTTTATTGTGTTTTTCTTTTCTTTCAATTTGAAAACTATTTTTTTAAAAAAAATATTTAAAACAACCTATATTTCAAGAAACAAGAAAAAGTTGTGTTTGAATTTTTGAACACTGTTTTCTTACAAAATGAAAATGATATGAAACCGACAGATGTTTTTGACTAAAAAGTAAAAAATATAAACATAAAAAACAAAACAAGCTAAATGAGCTTACATGCCCAAGAAGGTTAAAATCATGGTCTGGATGATGGAATCGCCTATTGCTTTTGCCACTCAATATTTCTAAGATTATGACTCCAAAGCTAAAAATATCGGATTTTATTGAAAAGAGGCCATCAATTACATATTCCGGTGACATGTACCCACTGCATACCATTACCAAACAATTTAGAAATGAGTGCAAAATGAGCTTTAGAGATGTACTAAAAAAGCTAGTGACTTCTTAGCTGAGTCTGTGTAAGGAAAAAGAGTATTGCACTTACTAAGTTCCAACCACTCTTCTTGTTGTTGCAGATGATTGATCTCCTCCAAAAGTCCTAGCTAGGCCAAAATTTGAAATTTTAGGATTCATCTCACAATCCAATAAGACATTGCTGGCTTTGAGATCCCTATGAATAATTCTCAATTTTGAATCTCAATGTAGATGAAGAACCCCTTGAGCAATCCCAACAATAATATTTAAGCGTCTCCTCCATGTAAGTGATTTACTTCTTGTGTTTTCTATACCTGCTTTGAATAAAAGGGCTTAAGGTTTTCTTTAATTTATAAGATTTTAAAATTTATATCTATTTCAAAAATAATGTATGCCATTGGTTTTTCTGTCACTATTTTATTTCAGCACCTACTTGGATAGTCGTAATCAATTTCATTGTTTGATGAATAATTATTAAGAAAATGGTGAACAAGAATACCCAGTGATATATAGGATTGCTTACATTATTGTAGTGAGACAAACTTCTTCTATTAACATACTTTTCTGTTCCATTGGTCAAATGTGAATTCCAAGCTAACAATACATAGATGAGGAAGGTCAAGAGGGCAAACCAAAAATGAGAGAATCCAAGCTTCCATTGGGCATGCACTCGTAAATTAACATTCTTTCTTCTCCATGGATGCAACATCCCAAAAGCATAACCAGATTACGGTGTTGAAGTTTGGCAACCAAAGTCACTTCACTTTTGAATTCATTAAGACCTTGTTTCGAGGTAGTTGAGAATTGTTTGACAGCTATCTCCTTTCCAGTTGATAGCAGACCCTATGATAATCAACATAAAGATTTAATTAGATCATCATGTGAAATCTAATAGCTTTTTTATTTTTTCCTTGTGAAGAATTCCATTTGTCCATTAAAATAGCTAGTGTAGGAATGGAATAAACTAACCTTGTAAACAGGCCCAAAACCACCTTCTCCAATTTTATTTGCGTCACAAAACTTGTTAGTTGCCCTGCTAATGGTGACGATATCAAAGATAGGTAATTCTACTTTTTCTTCATCATTGATCTGAATGTTGCCTCCTGCCTCAGTTAATCACAAAACACAAGAAAATTTAATGCTTGTCAAGTTTTGTTCTGCAATTGAGAGTGAAAAATATGAAATAAAAAATAAATAGAAAGAATCATCACAAAACACAAAAATTTACAGTTCACCCACCAATAGACCTAAATGTCCATAGGTAAAGACAATCAACAGATCTATCACAAGTATGTTAATTTTTCCACACACACACACACACAACAAAATCTAATCAAGGGTTGTGCAAAATCCAACAAAAACATTTAGAAAATGAACCATATAATTCTATCCCACCAAAACATGCTCTCTATGATGGAAGGACACCCACTCACCCTTTTGGCACACCAAAATCTCTGGCACACACAAATACTAACACTACACCATAGACGATAGAAATTAAGGGCCCAAATTATTAAAAACCAATATTGAAAGATATAACAACTTTAGTAATTAAGCCCATGTAGTTAACATATATATATATATATATATATATTTTAATTGTTTTTAGGCAACAAAATGAATAACAAAAAATAAAAATTAATTAAAAAAACTACTTCACAACTTATTTAGCAAACACTACTCAGTAACTTAAATCAATAATTCAATAGTTACACCAAACAGATTAACAGTTTTTGATTAAAGTCATAATTTATAATCTATTTTAATAGTTATACCAAACGGGGCCTATGTCACAACTTTTTTTTAGTTTACTCTTAAAGTTAATTTATGTTCAAAATTGGACAAAAAAATGTCATAATAACTGTCACATAACATAAAAAATATATTATTATACTGATATTTAAGTTTATGTCAGACATGTGAGTTATATAAAATAAAATAGTTTTATATCATGTGACTGTCAATGTATTTTTTTGGTCTAATTTTTAATAGAAATTAGTTTTAAAAGTAAACTGAAAAAAAAAACTTGAAATATGAAGAGCCGAAGTGGGAAAAAATAAATTTTAAAGGCTAAAGTCAAAAAGTGACCAAACATAATGAAGGCAAAGTGTAATTTATCCAAAATTATATACAATAATCATTTATTTTATTATTTAATGCGGCACATTACATCTTTAAAATAGGCGTGAGAGAATTTGAAGGGCTCGTAGAATCTATTATGATTCTCATTTCGATAATCTGAACCGTTCATTTTGTAGAATTCTCAATTTATATCATTCATGAAAAAATTTATATTGATTTAATAATCATAACTTTTTTTAATTTTATGTAGAAAGTTTTTTCTTTAACCTCTTTATCCCGAGGTGCTCTTATTTAATAAAATTTTCATTTTACTAATCTAAAAAAACAAGTATTGTGTTTTGTATGTAACTTTGGCAACTCAACATGAACAGCCACCAGCATTTCCACGAGCTTGGATTGTAAATTGGTTTGATGAGCACATTGCCAAGATCTCATACTAATTATCGATATCATTACAACTTGTTTGAATTTTTGACCTGAAAATAATAAAAAATAAAACTGAAGAAGAAAATAAAACAAAAAAGATAAGAAACCCAAACAAACTTGGAAATTAATTAATTATTTTTTTTACATTGATAACGAGAGATATATTGCACGGGGGAGGGTTCGCAACAATTAAAGCTAACCATGCAAAGAAAAATGAAAAATCTAAGTAGCACAAATCTTGTTAATTATGTATATATTAATAATAGCTACCACTCTCACTTACGTAACGTAACAAATTTAATAGCAAGCAACATGTGACATGACACCTTAATTGTGATGTCCCAGGTATTGGACTTAAATAGTATTGTGTAGTAAAGCAGTGTGCATTGCTTTCGGGATTTTGTTTATCGTATTGAGTCGTGTAATTTCCTTTCCTACTCTTATTTAACCTATCGTAATGTTTCCGGGTTGAAAACTTTGAGCTTTGAGCATTGAAGCTTGTTTTGGATTGAAAAATCAAACTCTGGGTTCAGGGCAAAAACCACTCGTGTGGATTTGGCAACCGCTCGAGCGGATCAACACAGGGTTTTCTAGGTTTCTGGGTAGGAAACTGCTCGAGCGGATTTTGGGTCCTGCTTAAGCGGATTTTGGTGAATTTTCTAGACAGCTTTTTGGAGCAAACCACCCGTGAAGGCAAAATTTTTGTTCGTGCGGAATTGAAACCGCTCATACGGATTTCAAGCAAATTGACCACGAGGAAAATAGCCAAGCAGACAAGTTGGCTGGCCTAGCATCTATGCAGACAACTTTTCCCAATCCATTGATGATAGAATTCTTGCCCCGACCAAGCATTAAGGAACAAGAGGCGCCCGAAGTACTCTGTGCCGACTTGGGACTGTCCTGGATGAATCCAATCATCACCTTTCTGAAGGATCGAATTCTGCCCATTGAAAAGAAAGAGGCCAACAAGATCAGAACCAAGTCAGAGCGGTTTTGGCTCTCTCCATCTAGCGACTTGTACAAGAAATCCTTTACTGGGCCATCCCTGAAGTGTGTCCACCCTAGTAAGGTTGAAGCTTTCCTCTTCGAGATCTATGAAGGCATCTGTGGAAGCCACATTGGGGGCAGATCTTTGGCATACTGTGCAATTTCTCAGGGTTATTGGTGGCCGTGTATGCAGGCCGACGCGTAGAAGTATGTTCACAAATGCCAAAAATGCCAAAAATTCGCTCACCAAATCCACCAGCCGGCCAGAGAGTTGCTCCCCCTTACAAGTCCTTGGCCATTTGCGCTTTGTGGGTACATTGTAGGACCGCTTCCAACCGCTCCGGGCAACCGCAAATTTTTCATCGCAGCGACGGACTATTTCACTAAGTGGGTAGAGGCAGAGCCATTTTCCACCATCAAGGAAAAAAAAGTAAAGAGGTTTGTCTGGCAGAATGTCATCACTCGCTTCGGCATCCCAAAAGCCCTCATTTCAGATAATGGCACTCAGTTCGACAAAAAACTCTTTCGCGGGTTTTGTGAGGAGTTAAAGATTGAATTTTACAACTCTACACCGGCCTACCCTCAATCAAATGGTCAAGTTGAATCCTCAAACAAAACCATTTTGGATGGGCTAAAGAAGCGATTGGAGAAGGCCAAAGGGAGGTGGACTGAAGAACTCCCCAATGTGCTCTGGGCATACCGCATTACACCAAGACACTCAACCGGGGAAACTCCGTTCACCTTGGCTTACGGCATGAAGGCAGTCATACCATTGGAAATCGGCATGCCAACCATCCGATCCAAAAGTTTTGAACCAAACTTAAACAATGAAGCTGTAGACCTGGAACTTGACCTAGCTAAAGAGAGAAGAGAACAGGGCACTAATCCACATAGCCGCTTACCAACAAGAGCTCTCCAAGAAATACAACAAGACCGTGCATCCTAGGCTATTCAAGGTCAGAGACTGGGTCTTGAGGAAAGTAATGGGCAACACGGTGATTCTTGGGGAGGGCAAATTAGGATCAAATTGGGAGGGGCCATACAAGATAACTAGCCTTGCAGGCAAAAGGGCATACCACCTGGAAGACTTAGATGGCAAAGCTATCCCCAGGCCATGGAATTAGGCCAACCTCAAGATATTTGACTTTTGAAATATGATTTTTTCTACTTCTTTGCTTTTTGTACCTTGGCCTTTTGGCATTGGGTGTAATCTGTGACGTGTAATAGAAGATAGCCCCTTCTTTCTTGTATACTATACGTTTGTGTACAAAAATATTACAACGATATTAAGCTACTATGAGTGCCAGGGGCAAGTATTCAAAACCGGCCTGACTTTTGCGGTACGAGCGGTTTACGGGCTGATTTTGCTCGATAAACCAAGTTGACCTTGCTCGTTCGTACAAACAGTTGGTGTTTCGCCCAACTTGTGTTAAGGCCGAGCTGGCCTTGCTCGCCCGTACAAGCAGTTGGTGTTTTGCTCAACTTGTATTAAAGCTGAGCTGACATTGCTCGTCCGTACAAACAGTAGTGTTTTGCCCAAATTGTACTCGAGTCGAGTTAATTTTTGCTCGCTGATGTAGAGCTGATTTTGCTCGCTACATCGAGCTGATTTTGCTCGCGATTGACCGAGCTGATTTCTGCTCGCCGTTGTAGAGCTGGTTTTGCTCATTACATCAAGCCGATTTGGCTCGTAATTGACCGAGCTGACCTTGCTTGCCCGATCAAACAGTGGTATTGGCTCGTTAAAGTGTTTTCATCCCCAAGCTGATTTTGCTACACTTCCCTAATTTCGAAAAGGAATTTTGCATTTGTGCGCGTTTAAAAAGAAATCAGCTCGGCTTAACAGAGATCATTACGCTTAGAATGCAACGAAAAGATTTTATCTCGGCCAAATTGAAGAAAACGACCACAAGGCATAGAAAAATTCGAATACATGGTGAGCAAAAAGTTCTTCACTTTTCATTCACAATAAAGTCTGATTACAAAAGTG